GGTATTCTTACTCAATTAATGCAGACAAAAGTTATGAACTCGTAATTCAAACCAAAGAAGTTCACGTTGAGGATGATAATTGTGCAAATCTCAAAACTTGTGTGAAGTTAAACGCAGAAGTTTATGCCTTGCCAGCAGTTGCGAAAGTTTCTATGAGTGCGCATGATGCAATTTTGAATATAGCCCTTACTATTTACTTGCTGATTTATATCTCGGGATCTTACCGCCTTCCACCGTCACCCCATTAACGCCAAAAGTGCAGTCACAATTCTTACAAACAAATATACTTATACACGACGCCTGAATTATTGATATATGATGTAAAACATGTTTTATTTCTCTAGCGAAAAATAATGGCCATGAGATGATGTGATTGGCAAAATCTTTTAGTGCATTGTCTTTTTTTGTGAATACGGAGCAAGATGCAAAAACTTTAAGTGGTTCCACTTTGAAACTATATTTTTTTCTGTACTAAAAATTTGAGGTATATAAAGCCACATCCAGTGCCATAAAAGTTCAAGCAGCTCTTATTCGACATACTAAAGTTGAACTACTGGTAAAGGATTTAATTAAAATGGTTTGAACCCCAGACATAAAATTGAGGATTGTTAAAAGTTTCGTGTGTGTATTTGTGTCTCTCAGTTGCATCACAACTACTCAAGGGTTAAACCAATTTTGATTTATTATTTTATTGCTATGTGGCCTAATTGGGATTATTCGGTTCACCCACTCAAAAGTCAACAGCAGTCAAAGTTTGGTAATCGTCGCATCTATTTTTTTGGTATTTAATATTTTTAATTACTTTCTGTTTTTATTCTAATGTAAAATGTTGGTTGATATTCACATTTGCATTATATTAATACACTATTCCCAAGTTCAATTTTAACCAAATATTTATACATTTCAACAAGTCTAATATAAATTGATTTACAACAAATATGCAAAATGGAAAGTTCTCCAAAGCCAATTCGGTTTATTTTCCAAAAACCCTCATCGGTTTTGAGTGAGATATTTAGTATAATACCTTGATTTACACACACATCTTATTAATGTTTTTGCCGTATCACTTAAATATATGTAATTTAAGAGATCAACATTAGTTAAACCTGCAATTTAAACGAGAGTTTCTACAGCGTCACCACAGTTTCATAATAAAACAAAACTCGCTCGCCAATTTTTATCACTTGCCCTAGTTCACGAGCTCTTTTTTATGTCACTGTCCGAGCACAAGTGCGGGTTGTTTTAGATCAAAACTTTACAAAATGACTTTTGAATTTTTGGGCAAAAGGTCACACTGAATGAGAAGAAAAAGTGGTAAGTACAATTCACCATTGAATGTAGTATTATTCACCTTCTGACCCCAGCATAATAATAGGTCTTTACCTATGAAATTGCCATTTTGTATGCAATAACTGAAAGTACTTATTTTTTCAAACTTTTTTATTTTTGTTATTCAAAGTAATCACCCATGCAATCGACGCATCTTTGCCAACGCTTTGGCAGTTTATTGATGCCCTTCATGTAAAAATCAGCTGGACGGGAGGCAACAAACTCTTCAAAGGCATTTTGTACTGTAACCACTAAAAAGTTGTCTAAATTTTGGAAAAAGTAATAGTCGGTAGGTGCAAGGTCTGGTGGTCACATCTGCAACCAGCTTTGGTCAATCGGTCGTCCCCACTGCTCATTCACGACAATGCGCGACCCCATACTGCGCAACAGACAGTCTCGAAGCTGCAAGAGCTGGGGTTGGAAGCTCTCCCTCATCCGCCATACTCACCAGACCGTGCACCTACCGACTATTACTTTTTTAAAATTTAGACAACTTTTTAGTGGGTAAAAAATTCTTTTCCCGAGAGGCAGTACAAAATGCCTTTGAAGAGTTTGTTGCCTCCCGTCCAGCTGATTTTTACAAGAAGGGGGCATCAATAAACTGCCAATGCGTTGGCAAAGATGCGACGATTGTATGGGTGATTACTTCGAATAACAGAAACAAACAAGTTTAAAAAATAAGTACTTTCACTTATTGCATACGAAACTGCAATTTCATAGGTAAAGACCTAATATAAACACTAAGATCCTAAATTATATTGTCATTAAAACTAAGAAAAAAGGGTAAACAGAAGAAGGTTAAATTGAAGTGAAGGTAATAACGTAAAGCTAATAAAATAACGTTTTAATATATCTTAGACATAACATAAATAAAAAGACGTAGGAATTTTAAAGAGAATAATTCCTATCTTAAGGACAAAACATATAGATAAGTGTTGACAATTTGAAATAAATCGAACTTGAAAATTACGGATAAAGCAAACAAGTTGCAAGTAATTCTTGCAGCATTATCATAATATTTGGAATCTTGCCTGCACAATTAATAATGGAGTGCATCGCATGTACAATATTGGTGAAATCGTACTACAATTGGATAAATTCCAAGTATTCGCCTTGCTTAACGCGATAAACACGAATAAAGAATGTACCCACTTAATAAGCATTTCACAGATATTGTTTAGCTCTAACAAATAGATTTGAAAAGCAAACCTTATTTTCGAAAACGATGTTGATAGGATTTTGAGAATTAGATTTCGTTTTAAAAATATAAGATAAAGGTATTGTGTTAGATTTTAATTTACAAACTGAAGATACTACTACGGCTACTAATGAAAATTACTTAAATAGTCAAAATTTCATCGCGTCATATCAACAGCCTTTCCTGAACATAGGTCCCTTCGTATACAGTATATTCTCTTGGTATAGGGTTTGAGTCGAGTTTTCCTTCTCTTTGCAGTGCTGTTGTCTTCCAGAGTTTGCTCCCTCTCACAGGATGAATAGGGGTAGTGACTTTGTGTTCTTAATCCGCTATCATACGAATGGGTCAAAGTTTGTCACATCTTAATCTTTAACGGTGAAAGTGGCCGTGGAAAAATAAAGAGAATAGTCTCAATTCTGATTGATTTCCACACAAAAAACAATTTTTATACAACTATTCAAAACCATTGTGAAATTGTTTTAGTTATTACATCATGTATTTATGAACATTTAGTTACCGAAGTACAATCATTTGCATCGCAATCACCTATTGTTCATTTATCGTCATTGTTACGTAAAACTGATTTTAAACTGATTACAAAAAGTAATTTCATTGAACTATATTTAAAACAGTTATGCCAATTTGAACTTAATCAATTTACAAATATTTGTTTAATCTTAAGACAATCAAAGTATGAACTTTGTCGAGGATCTAAACTATTTTCTCAATAATAAGTTATAAAGCCTCAATGAGCGCTTGTATAATTTAATCAAGGTAAATTCACTTAAAAATAGTCTAGCAGTTACCTAATTTCTAATTACGATTTCTTTGTTTCGCCAAAACTCTGTCTCTTAAGAAAATTTGCCACCTTTTTAGGTACTCAGAACATTGTGAATATTTAATTACATTTGAGACCATTTTCATTTTAAATTTTACAGAGGCCTTTTGAACTCAATCCTAAGGTCAAGGACAACGATCTACTTCAAGCTCAGTTGATGTTCATGTAGGCATGTACGTGTATGTCGTGAAATTGATGTAGACATCTTCTCAAACAGTCTTCCAAAATTTAAAATCAAAGCTATTGCGTCATTTAGACCTTCTTAGACCACTTTAAATGCATCACTGTCTCTAATTAATTTCGATGATGTTCTGTATGTTTTGTATATTATTACAGATATTGCATTGTATAATCTTAGATGTAACTGTCCCTTACCATGCCGTGGCAACTTGTAAGTAAGACAACACTCAGCAATTTGTAAAACATGGTTGTAAACTATGGATTAGGGTATGTTTTGTAAGTTGTCCTAAATAAATAAATAAATAAAATAAATACAAACGAACTTAATTGTTAAAAGAAGTGAATATTCATTGTTCAGTTAATATTACTGTAATGTAATGGGTGATTATATAATCACTACTTTACTTCGGAGTTAAACTAGGATTCAAGGGATCATTATAAAAGGTATAAAGGAGTGAAATATTATGAAAGAGCGAATAAAAGAATAATTCAAAGAAATTAAATTAACCAGCGATTGTTAAGTGCGAAGTTGGTTGAGTAAAAGTAAGGTAAAAACTAATTCATGGTCTGTGAAGATTGTGCTTTAGTTAATCTTTTATAAATCCTTTTTCCATCGTGTAACTTCATAATGTAGCCCTTGGTGTTAATACAAATTTCTAAACAATACAATGATAATAAAATTTTGTTTCGAACACAAGATTCAAAGGGTATGACATAAAAAAACTTTCTCCTTCTTCTGTCGAGCCTTTTTCCCTTACTAAATTGGAGAAAACCTTGATTTTTTACATGAAGCAACTGTTATTAGACCTCCAGAACCCAAGTAGGGGATATCGAAATTCTGTAGAAAGACTGTTCACTGTGACAATGTGTCTGAAATGCTACAGATGTGCAGCAACTTTGATTGACGGCTTAACGTGCTCTCAGCACAGAGGGGTCTCTATATGTTTAGAATGGTCACCCATCTATATACTGACCTGGCTAAGATTGCTTAACTTGGCAATGTGTTAACTTGCTTGGTTCCGCATGAGCCTTTAATAAAAAAAAAACAGTGGAAACAACAAAATCCACAAACCAAAAATGTACACAATAAAAAGATTTTATTATTAATTAGGTCCTTCATATATATTCACATTCTTATTTAGGCCACTACTTTTTTTTCTATATAAGTTTGTTACTTTCTCAATTCAAGTTCGACTTCATCTCAATTTTCAAGTTTGATTTGACAATTTCAAAATAAGATTTCTATGTTAGATATCACGAACTTATTCAAAATTCTTAACGTTTTATTTCAACTATAGAATCTTATAGAAGACCTTAACAGTATATTTAATATTCTCCGTTGTGTTGGATATAAAATAGATTTTTCGCTAACCTGCTTCTAAAATTACAAATACAGCGTTTTACTATATTAAATTACCGCGTCACGGGAAACTACGCCAGATCCTTGCAGTGACGATGGTGAACATAGATCTGATGAAGATTATCCCGGAGCCAGGAGGGTCAGATGGGAGCGATAGTTCAGTAACTAATGGATCACTATTTCCCTCGAGACCACGAACAAGAACTAAGAATAAGCATTTAGATTCCGATCAGTCCAGTGCCAATACTTCAGATCACAGCGCAAGTCCTCTAAGTATTTTTGACAGTAGAAAAACAAAACGGTCCAGATTAATGTCAGAGCATTCCAATACTGCTGATCGCGATACGGATACGGAGCCACAGTTGTATCAAGAGAACGAACTGGAGGGTAATCTCGGACGACAGACGGGACGAACTACTTGATATAAAGGGTAATCTCGAAATGCCACAGCCAACGTTTTTAAACGCAGTTTGTTAATTATGTACTATATACGTTGATTGCATATGACACGTCGTGTCACATTACATATTATTTTTGTTGGTATGACAAGCAGAACGTCACTAATCGTCATTTGAATACCCAGCTGGTCAGCTAAAAGTGTTATGTACTTATTTCTATTTTCGAAGCAAGTTGGTAACGATAATAAATAAATAAAGGTAAGACTCGTCGCGTGGCGTGGTAAGAAAGATTAAAACTCTTGTCAAAAACTATATTAATAAAAATTGAATATAATTTTATTTTACTATTTAATAAAATTCTATATGCGTAGGTTTCATTACATTTTTGCAGAAAAAATCAATGCAGCAGAACGTACAATACCCATGTATTATTATATACCCATAAATGAAAAAATATTCATTTAGTAAAACGTGAAGTTGACTTTCTTGTACAAATTAATTATATATTTTTCCTTTGAGTTCTGAGCTTGAGATAAATAAAATAATCGTTTTATTTATGGCGAATACTTGTAATAATTTTTATATAGAACAAAAAGCTTTATTATTTCCCACCTCCAGGATCTCTGTTGGAACGGGGTGTTAGAAAGCGCTGAACGACCTTCGGCTGTCATTAGCGTTGACCTTTGGACGATGATTACGAAATATGGCATATAACCTCTTGCTGGTAATAACCTGGTTTTTCTTAACACCATGTAATTCTGTTGATTTAATTCCAAGAGCTGAAACAGCAAGCATTCGCTGAAATGGAATACGTAAATAAAAGTACGTAAGTACGTATACGTAATTCTAAAAAGCCGAAAGTTTGTATGGATGTTTGTTACTCTTTCAGCTGAACGGCTGACCAGATGGATAAAAAAATTGGCACAGAGATAGATTATAGTCTAGAATAGCACATACGCTACAATTTATCCTAAAAAATGTAGTATCCCGGTAATACCGCGGGGCTCAGCTAATAATGTATAACACTAAAATGTTCAACTCAGTATTTCTGGCGTTTATGGTCACTGTCCCGCTCCTAAGGGTCGTAGTGAAATTTCGAACATGAGCATACTAATGTGAACACTTTAGATAAGTCAAAATAGTAAATCTAAAAATTAGTGTGTTCAAACAAAGAAATAAACAAAACAAGTAGGTCGGTGAAAGTGAAAGTTAAAACCATTTCGTAGAATTCGGATACGTCGAGTGATCAAAGAGCATGCAAAAAGATAACTCAATTCACCGATTAGAAATTTGGTAAAGTATAGAGTATAGAATTTACATATTATATTAATGTCGTATCTCGCAGAATGAACGCAAGACACAAAGAAAAAAAATTATGTCTCGATGGTGCAGTGGTAGCGTATGCGACTGCTGTGCTTATATCACCGGTTCGATTGCCGGGTCGGACCAAACGTCTATATGATCTGCGAATATTTGTTTTGTGGTTTGGGTCTTTTTTATGTAGATACAAAAATAAGTATTTAAGTATTCTATCAGCCAATCCAGGTTTCATAATACAAGCTCTGCATTATTACATTGATAGACTTTAGCGTCTATTATGAAATACCCTCATGAAGAAAATTACTAAACGTCGTCAATATAGAATCGTGTGGCAGTTTTACTATAACTATTAATATTCATAAATGTGTAATTAAGCTTACTTTTGCCGCAGTTTCATTTCGTATCCACTACATACTCGTAGGTAGAGTTATATTATAATCGTAATACATACGTCGTACACCCAGTACGTGTTCATACACATACAGCATATGCATAAAAATCATCATCATCATCATCAACAGCCTATACTAGTCCACTGCTAGACATAGGCCTCTCCTTAGAAAGGAGGTTTTGGCCTACTATACCACGCTGGGCAGACGGGTTGGTATAGGGTTTGTTTCAAGTTTTCCTTCTCTTTGCAGTGCTGTTGTCCTGCTTAGTTTGCTCCCTTAGTCGGCTCTTACGACACCCACGGGATGAATTGGGGTGGTGACAATTTGTATTCTTAATCCGTCACCACACGGCCCGTATAAAAATACTTACTCTATTAAGAATTATAGTTCAATAAATCATGATTGTCATGAACATATATTTTAGTAATTGTAGTACATAATAATGGTTAATACAGAAATTAATTCTCCGTTTCCTCGTAGGTTTTATCTTGCAGGAATGTATTTAACGCCTTTTTGTAGGTTTGATATGATAGGTTATTAATGAAACATATATATCTCAGTAAAGGTATTAGTAATCTGTACTTGCTTCTAGTTATTACGTATTTCAATCAAACTGAGGGGTATTTCCCTTTGTCGACATGATGATATTGTATGCACACATTACAGACGATGTTCCAAAGAGCAGTGCTGCGAGATTAAAACTAAAATTGACCTACTTTATTTCAAAACTTGAAATAATACAAAAGGAAATGTGATAAAAATACTACATAATTTCCTTTTTGCCTTGATTTTTAAATCCTAGGCTTACATCATCAAAGATATTGATCTTTAAAGACACGTAGACACATGACAATACACATGAAGTCGCTGTGACTCCTCAAAGGATATTTATTTTTACAAATACAATATTTTATCTACACAAAATCAATCACACAATAGGTCTAAATCCAAGGCTTTAAATAAGTTAGATTACATTATGTTCTTACAAAATTTCATAATGGCGCAGTTATGTAGTCTAAAAAATTGATTATGAGTTTTGCATTCACTATTTGAGTAAGGCAGAGAATATCCCATTTGACGGGCCTGTTGGTCCAGTGGTTAATGACCCTGACTGCTAAACCGGAGGTTGTGGGTTCAATTCCCACTCAGGACAACTAATTGTTTGATGAGCAGGATCATCTGTTCTGTGTCTGGGTGTAATTTATCTGTAATATATGAAGTTAGAAATATACAAGTATATGTTTACCAAAATACAGGGTCTGCCTAGTTTGAGATTAGACAGCCGTCTTTATGAATTATGTAGTTATTAAGTTATTTTAAAAGCCATCCCCATAAGCAACATCCCCTGTCCTACCATTGCCATCCCTTCTTATATATTTTATGTTATTTCATCTCCCCAGTTTAAGGTAAAATCGTAGACTCTCAACACTGTAGTAAGGTGCAATAATCCATGGAGATCACTCAAACGTACATAGTTGCATATCTTGCCCTGTCAAAGGGATGAATTTCTGAGATTAATAGTAAATGATCTTAGTTTTAAAAGTGAATACAGATTAGAAAAATATTACGCAATATATGATAAGATAACATTTTACTAGCTTTTATTAGATTCTCTTCAATATCGTTGGTCAAAAACAGTACCGGAATACCGTTGACGAACTAGTGGTGGACTGTAAATATTAAAGTATCAGTGGGACATTTTGAAATGAACCAATATAGAATACGAGAAGATTAATACAATTTGTTTTTCCAAATAGGAATGAACGCTTTACTGGCAATTACAACTAAACAAAAACAAGTGTTACCTGGAAAGTACCGCTGACTACTAAATGGGAATCGAACCCATGACCTCTGGGGTCATGGCTTCGATTCCCACCCAGGAAATATAATTGTGTATGTATTTTGATATATAGAAGTATGTTTATCAATAGTGTGATTACCTTAGTATAGATTCTGCCTAGATGAGACGGTCGTGTAAGAGATGTGCGAGGTTATTATTATTTATATTATATTATTATATTATCCGTGTAGTGATGGATAAAGAATACAGAGTGTCACATTCATCTCGGGGGTGTCGTAAGAGTCGACTAAGGTAGCAAACTGCAGGACGACAGCACTGTAAACAGAAGGAAAACTTGAAACAAACCCTATTCCAACCCATCTGGCCAGCGTGGTATAGTAGGCCAAAACCTCCTTTTTAAGGAGAGGCCTATGTCCAACAGTGGACTATTTAAGGCTGTTGAAGATTATATTATATCTAATCTCTAAACTGGCCAATTTTTAATTATTGATTGTTAAAGTATTAAAAGAGATCTGCATTTATAGCAGTTCCAGAAAAACAATTATTATAAGGATTACAAATTCCTCACTTATCATAACTACCCACATAAATAGTTTTTCAACAAATATGATTTGATGATGAATTTAGGACAGCCAATTGGCGATAGTAATTTAATCAGTATCTGAATACACTCACTCATTTTATAATTTATTTGTTTATAGTCCTGGCACTACCATACTTTCTTGGCAACAATCATATTTCAAACGACTACAAACATCTGCGAATAAGAGTTAACCTTTAAGATATAAGTAATAAAATATAAATTTGAAACAACACCCATAAAAGCACTAATAACAATGAAAGATGGTAAAAATATCGCCATTTTGTTGGCCTCGTTCCAATTGGAACATTGTTCTGTACATATTTTGTTATGCAAAATGTGTTTGTACCAAGCTTTTGAGCTGTGATTGCTGTATCACGTTCATGCGGGTCTGAATTTTTGATATACATATATTTTTTTTATATATACAATTAGCTAAAAATTTATAGGTATAATTGAATGAGAGAAGTAGTTTAAGAATACGGTGTCTCACTAGCCCTAATCATACCATGGTTCTCGTAAGAGCCGACTAAGGAAGCAAACAACACAGGACAATAGCACGGCAAAGAGAAGGAAAACTTAAATCAAACTCTACACCAACCTGCCTGGCCATCGTGGTATAGTGGGTCAGAAACCTCCTGTCTAAGGAGAGGCCTAAATCCAGTAATAGAGTACCAAAGGCTGTCAATGAATGAGAGAGAAATAAAAGTTATTGGATTAACTTGTGAAATAACACGATTCTCCGTCGCTCTTAAGACTATCCTTTATAATCAAAATTACACCTTTAGTTATGCAGCCGATTACCATAAAGTTTAGTAAACAAATTATCAGACGAATCGCCTGATGGGAAGTGATTACCACTACCTAAAGACACATGCAACTTAATGCAACTTAATGACAAGGGCATTGCACCCTTCTTGCAAGAATTAGG